ATTTACCTACAAGTCTTGCTTCTTTTTTACCTACCAATATCCCCAAAAATTATTGGGACAAAATAAGCATTTTAGGATTTATTGGTATATTAAAAAAATGTAGATGACTTGTAGATATTTAAGTCCATCATATAGGACTGACCCATAGTTTACCCTAAAAACAACTCCATTTACACGTTGCTTGTTATAATTAGTTTTTGGGGAGTAGGGGTTAAATGAAGTTATGTTGTGAGTGCAAATATTTGTAGAGTAATGGATGATTATTTGTTTAATTTCCATTGAATTACTTCGTTTATGTCTTCAATCTCTTGTTGCCTTGTTATCATGTATTTCGAGCCGTCTGGTCCAACATTTCATGCCAGTATTTGCCAGACTTAAAATTATTCTTGTGTTGTCTTGAAATTTGATGGTTTATATATTTCTAATTATGGTAAGGATCTCCTAATTTCTTGCAGATATGCTCGGACTTTTGCCTTCTTTTACACCATTGGGTTGCATTTTCTCGTCTTCACATGTCTTTACAAGATGTCAGCTCTGAGCTATCTCAGGTAAAACTATCTGTCAAATGCTTCTTCTTGATTCTACTGGTTGATTGTCACTAACCGAAACCCCCCCTTTTTTTTCTTGCAGTAATGGCCCTGAAGAACCCCTCATTGGAGAAAAAATTCTTAACCTTCCACATGCACTATGATATGATCTCCACCCCCAAAAAATTATTTTATTTTAGGGCTTCACACTAATAAGAGATGGAAAGATAGATTGAAATGTTTATAGAAGTTTTTAATTTTTTTTTTTTTTTTTTTTTTTTTTTTTTTTTGTGAGGAAGTTTTTAACAATGTATATATAAAGACATGATGTCATTTTATTTTTATTTTTTTATCCACCTGGTTCAAAGAGAAAAACATGTAACTTTGTTTTTGCTTTGATCTTAACCTTCCACATGTACTATGATATATATATATATATATATATATTGTTTTAGGGGTTCATGCTAATAATTGATGGAAGGATAGATTGAAATGTTGTAGAAATTTCTTACATTGTATATGTAAAGACTTGATGTTATTTTGTTACTATTTTTTTTTTTTTAACCCAGGTTTGGGGGTGCAAAGAGAAAAATATATTACTTGTTGTTTGCTTGGTTCATTTAGAGAAAATTAGTATAACATCCCTCTCCAACTTTGTGTAGTAGGAGAGTTCCAAGATATTTTTTTTTATTAGTTAAAGTCCCTCAATATTTTCACAGAGAAATTTCTCTGTGACAATTGAAATTTCTCCGAGTCGGGGTGAAATTTTTCTGAGTTGGGCAAAATTTCTGTAAGTTGAATTTTCTCTGTAGAAATGTTGAGAGAATTTAACTATTATGAAAATATTATATATGTTTTATCTTATAAAATCTATATATTAAGAACCTTAAAAAAAAGGAGGATGTAGAAATGTTGATGTAGAATATGACTTTTTAGGACTTAATTTTTTATTTTCTTTTTATTTTATTTATTTATTTATTTATTTTTGCGAGCTTCGTTCAGCCAACATAGGGCAAACAAATGTTCATTTGTTTGGTCAACTATAACTGAACAAACTTGTTTTGTTCTTTTTTTGTGAGCATTGCTATTAATCCCTACATTTCTTCTTAGAACCTCACCTTCTTCATTTTTTTTAATTCTAATTTTGTCCCAATCTAAATTTTCACTTTTGCCTTCATTCTTAATTTTCTAATTCTAATTTTCCAAACTCTAACTCTAATTCTAACTCTAACCCTAATCACCTTCGGTAATACCACCATCTTCGACCACTCCTCATTGCCTCAACTGCCACCATCTCCAACCACCCCTCACTGCTGCAACCATCACTCACTCCGTGCAATCAGCCACTACCTCTACCGACAAGCACCTCTAGTCCCTACTGTCGATCTGAATTAGAGAAGAGAGATCGGCCCGTTCAACACTGTGTTATTGAACTAAAAGGATTCGTTCAGTACTGTGTTGGCGAACATTCAAGATTCGTTCAACACTGTGTCGTCGAACCCATTTTGCTATCCTGACCTCCTCATCTATTGCAAGAGAGAGAGAGAGATAGAGAGAGAGAGAGAGAGAGAGAGAGAGAGAGAAATATATGAAAATCTAAGGTTTTCAGAAGAAAAGAGAAGAGGGAGAGGGAGAAGGAGAAGGGCAAGACATACAACCATGAAATCACTCACCATAGCTTGTGATAGTGGTTTTAATGGTAGCTATTGTTGATGGGCGTTTCTTTTGCTTTGTTTCTTGTTTATACTTGATTGGAATACAAGAAAACAAAGAAAGAACTTAGATTAAAGAGAGAAGTGGAAGGGGTTAGGGTTTGGGTTTGGGATTAGAGGTTAGGGGTATAGTTGGTATTAAAGTGGAAATTCAAAGAAAAAATGAAGGGTTTCATTTTGTTGAGTGAGGGGTTCAAAGAAATGGATGGGTCAAAGTAATTAGGTGGGGGCAAATAGTAGCCCTCATTTTTTTTCTTTTTTGGCGTCTGATCTTTGTTCGGCCAACAATGACTTAGGGTTGTAAATTTGGCCCGGCCCGGCCTGACCCTTTTTGGGCCTCACAGGCTCCCACCAAAATTCAGGTCAGGCCGAGCCAAACCCAGGCCCAAGGGGTATTTGGGCCTTGGGCAGGCTGATGGGTTGGGCTTGGAGGGCCTAAACTTTTCTTTCTTTCTTTTTTTTTCTATCAAAATTTTATTATATTCTCCCAAAAAATACACTGGGCCTTGAACGGGCCAGGCCTTGAACGGGCTGGGCCTTGAGTAAGTCTTAAGCAAGTCGATGGGTGGGGTCAAGCGAGTTGGGCTTCAAAATGATGGCTCAGACCTAAGCCCAGGGTCTCAAGCTAGGCTCGAGCTCGGGCCCATCCCGGGTGGCAAACGGAATTCAGGCCACCCACGGGCCACGGGTCATTTTTATACTCCTACAATGACTGAACAAATTTGTTTAGGTTTTTCATGTATGCAAGCTCTATTCGGCCAATTGGGACCAAACAAACTTCATTCGAAAAAATATACTTGCTTTTCTATTTTTTTTAGTCTTTTGAAAAAAATAAAAATATGAGCACTGCTACTAACACAAAAATCAACAAAAAAAAATGAGTCGCAAACACTCATATATCCCACAACCACGTGAATGTTTGTAATCCATTTTGTGTTTTTGTATCCTTAGTATTTTTTTTAAAATATTTGTAGCGTTTAGTTTAATTTTAAAATTGTTATTTAAAAATGGAATTGTATTTTGAGTTTGTGAGCTGTTGAATCATGATTTGAAAAGAGAAAATTTGTTTGGTTATGAGTTTTGAATTGAATTTGGAATTGAGTTTTGAAATAAGAAAAGTTGTTTTGTTATAAGTTTTGAAAGTTTTAAAACTTAATTTAAAAACTTATAACTCATAACCAAATATAAACTCAAAACTCTTTTGAAAATTTTATTTAAAGCTTATAACCAAACTCTTTTAAAATTCAATTCAAAAAAATAATTATTGAAAAAATAAATTTTTTATTTGAAAAAATTCAAAAATATTTTTTATTTAAAATATAAAAATATATATATTATTTTTTGTTAAAAAAAAATATTTAGCTAGTGCTTTAAAATTACTTTTGATTGTATATTTGATTGAATTTTTTTTTAAATTGTTTTGTTAAAACTGTTTTGTTATTTTTTAAAAATTACTGTGATAAATTAATTTTTATTAATTTTTTTTTTGTTGCTAATTTTAAATAAAGAGTTAACTACTTAAAAGTCCTATTTTACAAATATTATGGTAGTTTAAGTCTTATCTAAGATTTTTTTTATCCAACAAGTCTTATTTAGTAAAACTAAAAATATTATTAGTTTTTCCCAATTTTTAAAATTAAGAATATTATCAATTTTTTATAGTAATATTCCAAATAATTGTTTCACTAATTGATGAAAAAAGTAGAGCACGAGATTAAACATTTTTGTCCTTCTACTTATTGATTTAATTCAACTATCCAATTAAACCGAAAAGATTATCAATTTTTTTTTTTTTAGTTTTAAAACTGAAAACAATATCAATTTTTTCTAATTTTAAAATTGAGAACATTTTCAATTTTTTCAAAGGGTAGACACAATTTTAATTTTGCACAAAACAATAATTCAATTTTTCAATTTTTCAAAAAAAAAAAGTGTATTTTTTTTTTTTAGTTTTTTCAATTTGAATGTTGATCTTTTAAAATTTTGAAAATCAAAATAAATGTCAAATCATCATATTCCTTTATATATAATCATAAATGATGAATAATCATTATTTGAAGAGCAATTTCTACTATAAAAAATTTAATGGGACTTAAAGGTCCAAAAAATCTTAATTAGGACTTATGTGTAAAAACCCCTTAAATAAATGGCCAAATAAAAATGTCATTTTGGTTTAAAAATAATAATTTTTATATTTAAAAAATATCAAAAATAAATATAAATTTTTTTCCCCAAGTGGCAATTAGCGATTGGTAATTCCAAAAAAAAATAATAGTAATAATAAAATTACACTGTTCTGGTCAACCAGCCAGACGTCCAAGAGGATGTCCGGACAGATGACCAGGTAGATCCAAAAATTTAAAAACAGTCTGGAAAGATGTCCGAGTAGACGACCAGGTAGACCCAATTTCAAAATTCAAAAACTCACTCTACCAAACATGTTCTGAAAAAAAAATTCAAACATAAATGTAGAATCAATTTTTGAACACTATATTCAAATACAACACTGAAATACGAGGGTGGAATTATAATTCCAACTCTAAACTAAACACAGCCATTATCTTACTTCTACAAAATTTTATTTTATTTTATTTTTATTTTTTATTTTTTTATTTTTCATTGCATGTGAATGATTCTCTATCATAAAATGAATGATTCTCTATCATAAAAGCACTTATAATTGATAGCTCTAAACCAGAATGAATGATTCTCTATCATAAAAGCACTTATAATTGATAGCTCTAAACCAGAAGGGCGGATAAAATAGGAACTTTGAAAGGGGAAAGACCATCAAGATAATTGGGGTAGAGAAAACATGTCCAAGCTAGGATTCAGCTAGAATTCTTACCACTCTTTAATGTTCTCCTAATATATTAGCCCTTATTCTCAGTTAATGGATATGCCTTTTATAATCTATGTTCTTGTCTTAATTCAACAAACATGATACACATAATTGACCCAGATGTTTTTCCACCTATGTACATATAAACAGAATCCTAGTACTGAAAATAATATATTTAGTAAGGCATGCAAATTTTGTTTAAAAAGTGTTCTTAGCAACCTCCACTTGCTGGCTCTACTGAGCTCAGAAGACCATTGCCTCTCAGCTGCATGCAGTGATCTTCTGCATCCACTTGAGCACATATAATCACCACTGACATGCCGTTGATATGTGCCTCTTGCATGATATTAACAGCATTGTCAACAGTCATTCCCGGTATCACCTTCATCAACACTTGGACAACATACTCCCTCTTGTTGTAGTTGTCGTTGTGCAGCAACACACGATATGGAGGGGACATTTTCCTTGATTTCCTGGACAAGAAAAAAAAGAACAAAAAAATTGGTAGTTGAATCGTCAGTTTTCAACTCTGATATATCACATGAGAAATTGGAATATGAAATATCACGAAGTTAAACCAACACTATTTTTATGTACCAAGATATAGCAAAATAAATAAACCAGCAAAGTATCTAAACCAAACCAAACCAAACCAAATCAAACTAAGCCTTAAGTCCCATCAAATGGGGTCAACTACATGAATCTTTCTTCTCCACGCGGCTCTATCAAAGGCCATTTCGCTAGTCAAATTAAGTAGATTCATATCTCTATTTACAACGTTAGTCAACGTTAATCTAGGCCTACCCCGTTCCCTAACACTTCCTTCTACCGTTACAGCATCACATCTCTTCACTACTGCCTCTGTTGGTTTCCGTTGAATGTGACCAAACCATCTTAATCGATTCTCTCTCAACTTATTTTCTATTAGTGCTACTCCTACCCATTTCCGAATACACTCATTCCTAATTTTGTCTTATCTAGTTTTACCACACATCCACCTTAGCATCCTCATCTTAGCCACACTCATCTTATCTACATGTTGTTTCTTGGTTGTCCAATGCTCCGTCCCATAAAACATCGCTGGTCTAATAGCCATTCTATAGAACTTGCATTTTAGTCTAATGGGTATTTGTTTATCGCATAGTACTCCAGACGCACTTCTCAACTTACACCATCCCGCCTTAATCCTATGGGTCACATCCGCATCAATCTCCCCTGCTGTTGTGATAATTGACCCTAAATAACGAAAATATTCACTCTTAGGCAAGTCTTGGTCCTCAATCTTCACTTCTCCTCTGCTTTCGTTGTTACTGTTACTAAATTTACATTCTATGTAGTTTGTCTTATTTTTGCTTATCCGGGAACCTTTAGATTCAAGAGCTTTTCTCAAAATCTCTAACTTTGTATTAATTCCTTCTTTAGTCTCATCCACTAGCATGATATCGTCTGCAAAAAGCATATACCATGGCACGTCATCTTGAATATTTCTCGTCAACTCATTCATAACTAAAGCAAAAAGATAAGGGCTTAACGTAGATCCTTGGTGTAACCCAACAGTGATAGGAAATTCACTTATCTCTCCAGTAGGCGATCTAATAGTGATCACCACCCCTTCATACATGTCCCTAATCGCATCAATGTAATCTTTTGTCACCCATTTCTTCTCTAACACCCACCATATTATATCTCGGGACACTCTATCATATGCTTTCTCAAGGTCGATAAACACTATATGAATGTCTCTTTTCTTTTCTCTATACTTTTCTATTACTCTCCTCAAAAGATAAATCACTTCCATTGTTGACCTGCCAGGCATAAACCCAAATTAATTCTATGACACCTCTGTTATATCTCACAATCGGCGTTTCATTCAACCTCTCCCACACTTTCATTATATAAAGACATGATGTCATTTTATTTTTATTTTTTTATCCACCTGGTTCAAAGAGAAAAACATGTAACTTTGTTTTTGCTTTGATCTTAACCTTCCACATGTACTAATATATATATATATATATATATTGTTTTAGGGGTTCATGCTAATAATTGATGGAAGGATAGATTGAAATGTTGTAGAAATTTCTTACATTGTATATGTAAAGACTTGATGTTATTTTGTTACTATTTTTTTTTTTTTAACCCAGGTTTGGGGGTGCAAAGAGAAAAATATATTACTTGTTGTTTGCTTGGTTCATTTAGAGAAAATTAGTATAACATCCCTCTCCAACTTTGTGTAGTAGGAGAGTTCCAAGATATTTTTTTTTATTAGTTAAAGTCCCTCAATATTTTCACAGAGAAATTTCTCTGTGACAATTGAAATTTCTCCGAGTCGGGGTGAAATTTTTCTGAGTTGGGCAAAATTTCTGTAAGTTGAATTTTTTCTGTAGAAATGTTGAGGGAATTTAACTATTATGAAAATATTATATATGTTTTATCTTATAAAATCTATATATTAAGAACCTTAAAAAAAAGGAGGATGTAGAAATGTTGATGTAGAATATGACTTTTTAGGACTTAATTTTTTATTTTCTTTCTATTTTATTTATTTATTTATTTATTTTTTTTGCGAGCTTCGTTCAGCTAACATAGGGCGAACAAATGTTCATTTGTTTGGTCAACTATGACTGAACAAACTTGTTTTGTTCTTTTTTTGTGAGCATTGCTATTAATCCCTACATTTCTTCTTAGAACCCTCACCTTCTTCATTTTTTTTAATTCTAATTTTGTCCCAATCTAAATTTTCACTTTTGCCTTCATTCTTAATTTTCTAATTCTAATTTTCCAAACTCTAACTCTAATTCTAACTCTAACCCTAATCACCTTCGGTAATACCACCATCTCCGACCACCCCTCATTGCCTCAACCACCACCATCTCCAACCACCCTTCACTGTTGCAAACACCACTCACTCCGTGCAATCAGCCACTACCTCTACCGACAAGCACCTCTAGTCCTTACTGTATATCTGAATTAGAGAAGAGAGATCGGCCCATTCAACACTGTGTTATTGAACTAAAAGGATTCGTTCAGTACTGTGTTGCCGAACATTCAAGATTCGTTCAACACGGTGTTGTCGAATCCATTTTGCTATCCTGACCTCCTTATCTATTGCGAGAGAGAGAGAGAGAGAGAGAGAGAAATATATGAAAATCTGAGGTTTTCAAAAGAAAAAAGAAGAGGGAGAAGGAGAAGGGCAAGACATACAACCATGAAATCACTCGCCATAGCTTGTGATAGTGGTTTTAATTGTAGCCATTGTTGATGGGCGTTTCTTTTGCTTTGTTTCTTGTTTATACTTGATTGGAATACAAGAAAACAAAGAAAGAACTTAGATTAAAGAGAGAAGTGGAAGGGGTTAGGGTTTGGGTTTGGGATTAGAGGTTAGGGGTATAGTTGGTATTAAAGTGGAAATTCAAAGAGAAAATGAAGGGTTTCATTTTGTTGAGTGAGGGGTTCAAAGAAATGGATGGGTCAAAGTAATTAGGTGGGGGCTAATAGTAGCCTCCCTTTTTTTTCTCTTTTGGCGTCTAATCTTTGTTTGGCCAACAATGACTTAGGGGTGTAAATTTGGCCTGGTCCGGCCTGATCCTTTTCGGGCCTCACGGGCTCCCACCAAAATTCAGGTCAGGTCGAGCCAGACCCAGGCCCAAGGGGTATTTGGGCCTTGGGTAGGCCGATGGGTTGGGCTTGGAGGGCCTAAACTTTTCTTTCTTTCTTTTTTTTCTATTAAAATTTTATTATATTCTTCCAAAAAATACATTGGGCCTTGAACGGGCCGGGCCTTGAGTAAGTCTTAAGCAGGTCGATGGGTGGGGTCAAGCGGGTTGGGCTTCAAAATGATGGCTCAGACCTAAGCCCAGGGTCTCAAGCTAGGCTCGAGCTCGGGCCCATCCCGGGTGGCAAACGGAATTCAGGCCACCCACGGGCCACGGGTCATTTTTATACTCCTACAATGACTGAACAAATTTGTTTAGGTTTTTCATGTATGCAAGCTCTATTCGGCCAATTGGGACCAAACAAACTTCATTCAAAAAAATATACTTGCTTTTCTATTTTTTTTAGTCTTCTGAAAAAAAATAAAAATATGAGCACTGCTACTAACAAAAAAATCAACAAAAAAATGAGTCGCAAACACTCATATATCCCACAACCATGTGAATGTTTGTAATCCATTTTGTGTTTTTGTATTCTTAGTATTTTTTAAAAAATATTTGTAGCGTTTGGTTTAATTTTAAAATTGTGATTTAAAAATGGAATTATATTTTGAGTTTGTGAGTTGTTGAATCATGATTTGAAAAGAGAAAATTTGTTTGATTATGAGTTTTGAAAAGAGCGTTGAATTGAATTTGGAATTGAGTTTTGAAATAAGAAAAGTTGTTTTGTTATAAGTTTTGAAAGTTTTTAAAACTTAATTTAAAAATTTATAACTCATAACCAAATACAAACTCAAAACTCTATTGAAAATTTTATTTAAAGCTTATAACCAAACTCTTTTAAAATTCAATTCAAAAAAATAATTATTGAAAAAATAAATTTTTTATTTGAAAAAATTCAAAAATATTTTTTATTTAAAATATAAAAAAATATATATTATTTTTTGTTAAAAAAAAATATTTAGCTAGTGCTTTAAAATTACTTTTGATTGTATATTTGATTGAAATTTTTTTTAAATTGTTTTGTTCAAAAATGTTTTGTTATTTTTTAAAAATTACTGTGATAAATTAATTTTTATTTAAATTTTTTTTTGTTGCTAATTTTAAATAAAGAGTTAACTACTTAAAAGTCCTATTTTACAAATATTATGGTAGTTTAAGTCTTATCTAAGATTTTTTTTATCCAACAAGTCTTATTTAGTAAAACTAAAAATATTATTAGTTTTTCCCAATTTTTAAAATTAAGAATATTATCAATTTTTTATAGTAATATTCCAAATAATTGTTTCACTAATTGATGAAAAAAGTAGAGCACGAGATTAAACATTTTTGTCCTTCTACTTATTGATTTAATTCAACTATCCAATTAAACCGAAAAGATTATCAATTTTTTTTTTTTTAGTTTTAAAACTGAGAACATTATCAGTCTTTCATTTATTTATTTTTTTTTCAATTTTGCACATTAATGTCCCATCATCATGCTTCTTTATAGACACAATTTTTAATTTTGCACAAAACAATAATTCAATTTTTCAATTTTTCAAAAAAAAAAAAAGCGTAGTTTTTTTTTTTTTAGTTTTTTCAATTTGAACTTTGATCTTTTAAAGTTTTGAAAATCAAAATAAATGTCAAATCATCATATTCCTTTATATATAATCATAAATGATGAATAATCATTGTTTGAAGAGCAATTTCTACTATAAAAAATTTAATGGGACTTGAAGGTCCAAAAAATCTTAATTAAGACTTATGTGTAAATACCCCTTAAATAAATGGCCAAATAATTTGCCATTTTGATCTAGAAATAATAATTATATATTTTAAACATATTAAAAAACAAATATATATATATATATATATATATTTTTTTTTTTTTCAAAAAAAAAAGAAATATTAAAAAAAAAAAAAACTCTTTCCTCCATAGCTTTCTTTTGACCATAACTATCATGTGGTTGGGAAGGGCAGGTCAAGCAAAGAACAGAGACCATCGGTAGCCTGTTTCTTGACCAATTTTAGTATTTTTATTTATTTATTTATTTTGAGAAGGAGTACGATTTAAGTTTAATGTTAGCTTTCTTGGCACATCAACGGGAAGAATTTTTTTTTTCCCTCTCAATTAATATTATATGGCTTTACAATAAAGTAGAATGAATAAGTAATTACACCTCTCTTTTAGTTTTTTTCATACTCCTTTGTGAGAGGTTGAAAGATGGAAAAATAAAGTATGCTTTATTTTTCATTGCATGTGAATGATTCTCTATCATAAAATGAATGATTCTCTATCATAAAAGCACTTATAATTGATAGCTCTAAACCAGAAGGGCGGATAAAATAGGAACTTTGAAAGGGGAAAGACCATCAAGATAATTGGGGTAGAGAAAACATGTCCAAGCTAGGATTCAGCTAGAATTCTTACCACTCTTTAATGTTCTCCTAATATATTAGCCCTTATTCTCAGTTAATGGATATGCTTTTTATAATCTATGTTCTTGTCTTAATTCAACAAACATGGTACACATAATTGACCCAGATGTTTTTCCACCTATGTACATATAAACAGAATCCTAGTACTTAAAATAATATATTTAGAAAGGCATGCAAATTTTGTTTAAAAAGTGTTCTTAGCAACCTCCACTTGCTGGCTCTACTGAGCTCAGAAGACCATTGCCTCTCAGCTGCATGCAGTGATCTTCTGCATCCACTTGAGCACATATAATCACCACTGACATGCCGTTGATATGTGCCTCTTGCATGATATTAACAGCATTGTCAACAGTCATTCCCGGTATCACCTTCATCAACACTTGGACAACATACTCCCTCTTGTTGTAGTTGTCGTTGTGCAGCAACACACGATATGGAGGGGACATTTTCCTTGATTTCCTGGACAAGAAAAAAACAGAACAAAAAAATTGGTAGTTGAATCGTCAGTTTTCAACTCTGATATATCACATGAGAAATTGGAATATGAAATATCACGAAGTTAAACCAACACTATTTTTATGTACCAAGATATAGCAAAATAAATAAACCAACAAAGTATCTAAACTAAACCAAACCAAACCAAACCAAATCAAGCCAAGCCTTAAGTCCCATCAAATGGGATCAGTTACATGAATCTTTCTTCTCCACGTGGCTCTATCAAAGGCCATTTCGCTAGTCAAATTAAGTAGATCCATATCTCTATTTACAACGTTAGCCAACGTTAATCTAGACCTACCCCGTTCCCTAACACTCCCTTCTACCGTTACAGTATCGCATCTCTTCACTACTGCCTCTGTTGGTCTCCGTTGAATGTGACCAAACCATCTCAATCGATTCTCTCTCAACTTATTTTCTATCGGTGCTACTCCTACCCATTCCCGAATACACTCATTCCCAATTCTGTCTTGTCTAGTTTTACCATACATCCACCTTACCATCCTCATCTTAGCCACACTCATCTTATCTACATGTTGTTTCTTGGTTGTCCAACACTCCGTCCCATAAAACATTGCTGGTCTAATAGCCATTCTATAGAACTTATATTTTAGTCTAATGGGTATTCGTTTATTACATAGTACTCCAGACGCACTTCTCCACTTACACCATCCCGCCTTAATCCTATGGGCCACATCCACATCAATCTCCCCTGCTGTTGTGATAATTGACCCTAAATAACGAAAATGTTCACTTTTAGGCAATTCTTGGTCCTCAATCTTCACTTCTCCTCTGCTTTCGTTGTTACTGTTACTAAATTTACATTCTATGTACTTTGTCTTATTTTTGCTTATCCGGGAACCTTTAGATTCAAGAGCTTTTCTCAAAATCTCCAACTTTGTATTAACTCCTTCTCTAGTCTCATCCACTAGCACGATATCGTTTGCAAAAAACATACACCATGGCACGTCATCTTGAATATTTCTCGTCAACTCGTCCATAACTAAAGCAAAAAGATAAGGGCTTAAAGTAGATCCTTGGTGTAACCCAACAGTGATAGGAAATTCATTTATCTCTCCAGCAGGCGATCTAATAGTGGTCACCACCTCTTCATACATGTCCCTAATCACATCAATGTAACCTTTTGTCACCCCTTTCTTCTCTAACACCCACCATATTATATCTCGGGACACTCTATCATATGCTTTCTCAAGGTCGATAAACACCATATGAATGTCTCTTTTCTTTTCTCTATACTTTTCTATTACTCTCCTCAAAAGATAAATCGCTTTCATTGTTAACTTGCCGAGCATAAACTCAAATTGATTCTTTGACACCTCTGTTATATCTCGCAATGGGCGTTCTATCAACCTCTCCCACACTTTCATTACATGGCAAATTAGTTTGATTCCTCTATACTTGTTGCAATTCTGCACATCTCCTTTATTCTTATATATTGGCACTAAAATACTCTTCCTCCACTCATCTGGCATGTTCCTAGTCAACAAAATTTTGCTAAACAACTTAGTCAACTAAGCAATTTCCTTTTTACCCAAGCACTTCCAAGCTTCAATAGGGATATCATCGGGTCCCCTTTTTACCAACAAATTTTTTGTAATGGTGAATTTCATGAGACGGACTGTGATGTAAAGATACTCCAGTTGGCTTGTGAATCTCAAGAAGATAACATGTTCCCAAAATCCTGAAGTAAAGTTGGGGGGCTAGGAAATAATGGGGCCTTGGTAAGGGAACTATTTTTTTCAGGTCCCTCTAGGGGTCTGGAGCTTAAAACAGATCAACAAGAATCAATACACATACACCAACAGGGTTAGCCCGGTGGCCAAATCTCATGTTCCTCAATAGGAGGTCACAAGTTTGACTCCCCCTCCCCCTCCAATGTACCAAAAAAAAAAAAGAAGCTTTGCTTGTGTTTTTTATTTGCTAGATCATTTGATAGTGAGAGGGAGAGATGAGGAAAAAATCCAAAGTGAAACTCCAGAAAACCAGAGACCATTTTCTTCATAGAAAATGGCACATAGTTTGGTGATATAGTTGTACACACAAACAATAGTAAACCTGCTTATATACTTTGCAATCAAGTACCTCAAATCAAACTCAGAATCACGACCAGGTGTTGTTCTCTCTATGGTTGGCTTTTCCAACAACCCACCACCTTTCCCTGATCCCATGGCTGATATTGTTGTCAAAATGATCCGGTTGGTGCATTGTTTCTGAAGAGAGAATTTATCCCCTGTGGAGCAGACCATTAGAAAAAAATGAGAATCAAAGGCATTCTTAAAGTAATCCAGATAAGGAAAGCAAACTGTATTTTGCTACAAAACCATCAGTTCAAAAAAGAAAATTAACTAGAGAGCATGCAAAGAGAAGGGGATGTAATGCTGTTGTACAAAACGAAGGAAACATGCTGGTAGTATTTTCCTGCTATAGTACAAAACTCCAACAGGAATTCAACTACCAATACTAGAATACATCTTCTCCGAAAGTTTATAAGTGAAGTAATCGTCACAAACATTTTTGAATGTCAATTAATCTATTGAAAATGCTATACAAATAGAATTTTTATACAAAAATCACATCCAGAACGATGTGCACTGGTAATTTTGAAATTAAGACACAATGGTTGGTGTTTTGGCTTGATGTAAATGGACCATAACCAACCACACCATTTTGCATGAAAATTTTGTATAAAAAATACTTTTAGTAAAGCATAATTCTTAATCTATATCACAAATGATAATAACTTGGTTGTTCCTCCTTGAGTGAACAACCTGTTGGGAAAGTAATTATAAGATGCACATGCTATAGGATTAACTCTGGCCCATGAATGAATGAGCAACAGTTCATTCTTGAAAAGAAGACCCAGAATACTAGATGCAGAAATAGATTGTCAAAAAGGCATGAATACTTTTCAATTGTGATTTTAATGAACTTTTTCTTAATGCATCACAGGCTCATTTATGCATTGTTTGAGAAAATATTCAAGCAAAAAATATATTTTTTGAAATTTTATTAAAATCTTACAAGTCATATATGCCATTCAAAATACCATAGCAAGGGCAAGTATGCATGCATTTGGCACAGACATAGTCACACACAGACAAAGACTGGTCAGTTGTTCATAGAACTAAAATTGAAAGAACAAAAAAATAATGGGCGATTGTTCATGAAGCACCACCACCAGTGTCAATGATTCTTGGCATTTTAAGTTTCACCTCTTGCTTGAGTCATGGACTTGATATACTAAAACATATATTCGTGAAGAAAAGAGAATGTATGCTGTGGGAAAAAGTACAACTGGCCAATTGTCCATGAAGCACCACTTATAATGATTCTTAGCACTGGAGATAGGATTTCTTGCTTAAGGCAAGATCTCGGTTCTAGTATGACTAAGATCTTTTCATATTCGTGTGGCATGTCAAAATTTGAAATGTTTTATTGTATTTATCCATACGAATACTGTCGTTTAGTAGTAATTTCCTCTCTCTTTGTCTTTGCTATATTTGAATCATGATACAAAAAACTTTTCTCATTTAAATAAGAGGGTTTTCTCTAATTAAAGTATCATTTTTTGCTCTTCTTGGTTTCACAATCTCAGTTCTGCATTGTCTCGTTCCATACATTTTTTCCGTGAGTTCCTGCAATATAAATGAAATTGCTATATTGTTTACATAATAAGTTTCATTGTCTAACCATCCAAATTTCATTTCCCACCCCAAAAAAAAATTGATCCCCAAAATGATGATCAGAAATTTCAACAATCAGCAACCCCCCTTGGATAAGTAGCATTCCCTCTTTCTTTTGGTTCATAAAAGCCCAAATTGAAACATTTGCAAGTCCATTCAATATCATGCCACTATTGCACATTGCTGAAAATGCTTTTGATAGACAAATAGAGCTCTGTGGTTTGCTTCGTCCCTCCAAGCATATATGAAGAAGCCAAGTGAAGTGTTAAAGAGGACAAAAGGGAAAAAGCAATAACCCCCAACATTTTTCCATGTGTTTTTATTTAATTGTTGTACAATTTATGCTTAATTGTCTTCCCTTGTACTTTTGCAGCTTCGAACTTCACAGAACAAGAAGGATCTTTTATGATGTGTTTAGATCATGAATTTGAATAGAGATTTGGAAAGAAAAAGAAAATGGAGAAAAAAAAATTTAGCTTATACCCTCACCTTTTCCCTTTTCAAATCTCTACCTAAATCCACAATCCAAACACAACCTTAGTGAAAACAAATTGAATCCAATTTCCCATTTGCACAACTTTCATTTATAAGGTAAAAAAAACATGTACTTTCTTCTCAACATCATCTGATATTAACCCTTTTTTTAACATTACATTACAATAAAAAGCCGAGACAAACAACAGGTCTTCGTTTCCAAACAAGTTTTCATTTCCAATTTGTTTTTTTTTCAAAAAAGAAGACAAAACCCATGTTAACTGATGTATTTTCATCCAACTTATACTAGAACTTCCCTATATATTTATATAGTGTTCCTCATACCAAAAGCCATACTGGTGCCTCCTTGCTCCTTGTAATTTCAAAATTGACTTAAATTTTCAACACTTTGACACCCAATTTATCATGGAATTCTCATTAATTGCACTCTATTACTAATAACACAGCATTATATTCATTTCCAATTTCAATTCCAATTTCCAAAACCTCACCTACCAATACCAAATGCCAAATACCAGTTGATCTTGCAGCAAATTTCTGTTTACATCTAATAATCAAACACAACCTACAATTCCAAAACAATTCAACATACAACTCCAAAACAATTCACACAATATTCAAAGACATATATATATATATATATATATAGAGAGAGAGAGAGAGAGAGAGAGAGAGAGAGAGAGAGTACCTGGTTTAGGGTGAAAGACGTGATTGGGAGAAAGAGCGACTCGACCGCAAATGGCAGTCTCCATGCCCACTCTCCTCTTCCCTCCACACACACACACACACACACACACACACACACACACACACACACACACACACACACACACACACACACACACACACACACACACACACACACACACACACACACACACACACACACACACACACACACACACACACACACACACACACACACACACACACACACACACACACACACACACACACACACACACACACACACACAAACGAGTCCTTGCTAATGAAACCAACAAAACGTGCCTTTCTGATTTTTTCTGGGCTGTCCCAACAAAAATCAAATGGAAATTATTATTTTTTTTAAAAAAAAAAAACACTAAAGCTTAATCGTTATAATAAAATAAAATTTTTATTTTTATTTATTTTTAATTTAAATTATTTATCTATTTTTGTTAACGTTGTGTTTGGATGAGAGATTTAGAAAGAAATTTAAAAATAAAAAATAAAATGATAAATAAAATGTGAATAAAATCTATATAATAAAACAAGATGGTTTTTGAATTTTTCCTACACACATTTGTCCTATTAGGATATTTAAACGGCTCAGATCTATTCAAATTATAAAACAACGGCTGAGATATATTTTTCAAAAAATATCCTACATATACATTTTGTATTTTCTCGCTTCTCTTTCTTACTTTTTTCTTTTCTCACACATCCTTCCATAATCTCATGATCCCACCTCCCTCTCTCTTTTATTTTTATTTTTTTATTTTCTCCCGTTTTTATTTGTTTCTTTATTTGTTTATTTTTTTATTTTCTCATTTTTATTCAATATATTTTACACATATTTCCATACAATGTATGTATGCTCATAATACACTAGGACATTATGGATATACCTACAATTTCCATATAATTATATAAGCAAAAGTAACATTGTATGTATGCCCGTGGAAATTGTATTTATGCTAGACACATCTATCTATCTAGCGATATATTATATAAGCAGAAGCGAGTTTTCGTGGAAAATTTTGTGAGAACTCCAAAATTTTATAATAAATTTGCGATTTTATCAAATTAAAAAAAAAATTAAATAGTGTTGGGATTACAACTATATTCTAATCCTAACATTATTTATACCGTACCTTCAGGCACGGGCATACGCTAATATACTTATATTTCATCTAATTTTACACTTTTTCTTTTTTCTTTTTTCTTTTAAATTTCCTAACTAAATACAGTGTAAATAAAGTTAACAGAAAAAAATAATATTTTAATCATTAAACTTAAGAAAAAATTAAATTATTTTAGATATTTAATCTACGCTTATTTTTTTTTTTCATGTTACTTAACATAAATAAACAGTTTAAAATTTAAATTAATAAAATTAAAATGTTATATTATATGATGTTTTTAATAATTTCTACAAAATCAAATAACTTGTTTTATTTTTTTAATTTTATTTTGAGTGGTATGGATTTTAGAATGGAGAGAGGAAAGTTAGTGGTGTGTTGAGGGAACACGAAAGGCTAGTTATCGCGTCACCTACGCAATATTAAATCTAGACCGTTGATCTGTGACTGACCATACCACTACCGTGGGGTTCATATTATCAATTTTGCATAGTAATATTTCAAATATGCTGAACCTGTAATTGATAAAAAAACAAAATGAAAATTGTCCTTTTATTGGTTGATTTGAAATTGATATTTTAATTTAATTTAAGGAAATTCTATAGAGTGTTTAGTTATAATATTTGTGTTTTTAATTATAACACATTATGTTGTTATAACTTAAAAGTTATTTAATTATATTTCATGTAATATTTGATTATAACTCATTTTTTTTAATTTATTTATGACTCTCATAATGATATTAAGTAATATCATTTATAATGACTAAACTCGCAAATAATATAACTTGTGATTGATATATATTTTTTTGAAAAGGAAGAGGTTTCTTTCTAGTATAAATCAGACTAGAGAGAGTTGTCTGGACTCTGTGGGCTCACCAAGAAGCCTGCATCAATAATTCGAACCGTTCGTTGTGTAGAACTCGTTGAGTATTTCATCTCTATAAAAAATCACGTTGATTGAATATCGATAGCCTCTTGATCAGATCACAATTCTATCAACGGTAAATATAATTTTAAAAATAAATTGTTGACAAAAATATAATATAATCAAGTAGCTATCGATATCCGATCAATGTAATTTTTTACAGTCATGAAGTAATCAACAAGTTATACACATGGAACGGTTTGGATTATCGATACGGCCTTCGTGGTGGGCCCACAGAGGCCCTGACAACACTCTCGAGTTGGAAAGCCTAATCGGAGATAATCCAATTCCTTTTGAAAATGTGTATCCTAATATTTCTCTTTAATTTATAAAGATTTTTTTTTGTTAAGTAAAATTTGTAAATAAGTGAGAACATGTAAAATAATTATAAAAGAATAGAGAATAAAAAACAATTATATAATAGACATGAAAGTTTGTAAAATAATTACAAAGTCATAGGAAAAAAAAAAATGCAAGTATCAAAGTATCCTCACTTTTGTTTCTTTTATCATCTTATTCTCGTTTTTGAGCAAAGTAAAAGAGTGGTTGGCGATGATGGAGAAGGGATTGGGAGCGTGAAAAAAAGGTCAGAAGAGATTGACAGTGGTAGGGGAAGTGGATGAGAGGTCACTTTTACCCTTTGAGAGGCTCGCTGGGTCGAAAACCCGGAAGGGCGGCCCAGGCAAAAGTTAGAGCAAGAGAAGAAAAAAAAAAAAAAGAAGAAGAAGAAAAAAGAAATAAAGGTATTTTGGATAATTTATTAATTTTTTCATTGTTTTGTAAATTTTTTTACAAGTTTTTTCATCAGTACCTAATGTTTGATTGTTATAATCATAGAATTAAATAAGAAAAAAATAAAGGCTCATTATGTAGGGTTATTTTGGAAAGTATGTTAAAAGTTATTTTTATTTTTTTGACTTTTTTTTAAAAAAAAATGTGTAATAAAAATAAAAAAAGTAATATGACTCAAAAAAAGGTTAAAAGCTAAAAAAAAACTAACTTTTAATATTTTTTCAAAAGAAGCTGTAGTAATAAAACCCGAACCTAAATATTAGGTCTAATAAGAGAGTATTTAAATGCCCCATAAATGATGATTAATGTTGAGATATACATGTAAAAATTATTTAAAAATAAAAATATATTAAATATTAAAATGCATAAAATTTATTTAAAATTTAATGAGAAAATATCAAATCAATGGAACAGTAAAAAGTTATTTACATTATCATGATTTGCAACTCTACTATATGCATGGTGCAAATCCTCTATGTACATAGTGCAAGTTCTCATTGTGTATCAAAGTTGCATTATAAAAAATTTCGGTTGCGTTTGAAATGATTTTCAAACTATAATTCTACCCACACATTTTAATTTTATGTTTGGATATGACTTTTAAACTGTATTTCTAAAACTCTGTCTCAAGCGCGATTTTCAAAAAAAAAAAAAATCAAATTTGGCCTAATTGGTCATCCCACTGAACGTCCTACTGGTCGTCCGCCCGGTTGACAGAAACAATGCAAATTTATTTATTTATTTATTTATATTTTTTTTTGCAATTGACACATGCTAATTTTTATATATCAAAAAAAAAATATTTCGAATTTTTTTAAAAAAATTTGTGAGATTTAATAGAATTTTGAGTTGTGTGTTTGGTTATAAGTTGTAAGTTTTTGTATAAAATATCATATGTCACATCAAAAATTTCCCACTCAATTCAAAACTCTTTTCAAAACTCTTTCACCAAACAAATTTTCTACACTCAAATCAAAATTCCAAAACTCACAAACTCAAAATACAACTCCTACTCTCAAATCATATTTAGAAAGTTTTACCAAACGGAGCCTTCCTCTCTCGTACAATAATTTTTCCACTTGTTACACTTATTTGAAAGGGAAATAATTGATTTATCAAATTTTGGTTTGTCTGAATTGCCCAAATTATGTAAGTTAGATAATCGACAGGACAATTGGCATCATCCTTATCAATCGTAATTTACTATTATCAACCGATGTATCCACCGACATCAGTCCCAAATCACTAATGGAACAACCTCCGATAGACCAATATACACTATGGAGGGATAAAAATTAACTCATGTAAGGTGAACCCACACAATGCTGGCATAAAAATAGAATTAAGATAATAGAATAATGTCTTGCAATGTAATTTGTCAACTTGTCAAGTTGTTCTGACATTCATGCATCAAATGGATTTTGGGCCATATAAATAACTCATTTTTATTAGATTAAATTGGTGGCTTAATCTCGTTAGACAAAACGAGTGATAAGTTAACCTCTATAAAGGGATATAATTTTCAACTTGTGGTGGCCGAATAAATGAATTATTATTTATGACTGCTTAACGTATGGCCGAATAGAAGTCAGTCATGCGGGGTGAGGCCAAGTGTAAAAGCCAAGTACAAGCAAATTATGAATGCCGAAGTAGCCGACCACACCCCTTCATATTCAGAAGGCTCGGGGACGATTAAAAGCCCACAAAGCAGTGGGCCCACGGAGGGACTCATAATGAATCATTATAAAAAGAAAAGCCATGGTTAAAGAGAAGAAAAAGAAAAAGTAATAAAGAAAGATGATAAAGAAATTCTATTTGGCCGAGAGAATATTTCTAAATTCATTTCATCACACAACTCTAAAGGAGAAAGTATATCTAAATTTTTCTACTTATTCAATTTAATTTGAATATATGCTATATAACTTGATTATCGAAATATTTTTGACCAGCAACCATCAATGGGAGCCACTCTTCTTAATCCTTTTACAAATTTAAAACGGTACAACTTAATACTCTATTAATTTCGCAATTAACATACGTGGAATAATTTCGGCCTCCACGTACACAAATTTAGATAAATCGAAGGAGGCCAAATTCAGTAGCTGTATTTAAAATTTCCCGAAATTTAACCAACCCCCTGTCCGTCTAACCTCAGCCACTCAGTTCGTTGTTCGTTACCTTTTCTCTTCAATGGCCTTCTTCACCACCACCACCACCACCACCAGCACTGCCACCTCAACTACCTCCTTCAACCTCCAACCATTCTTCTTCTTCTTCAAACCCTCTATCTCCTCATTCTCCCCCATCAACGGCCTTGCCAATTCCGCTTCATCATCATCATCATCATCATCCACGGCCTCTTACAGCCGTCGATGGTACAACCCCATCCGAAGAAGAACACAATCCCATTATCGCTCCTCGTTGGTTCGACATTGGGTCGAAGCCGATCCTCCGATTCCATCTCATCAAGGTCTGTTTCTCCGAGAAAATGTGCTGTTAGACAACCTCGTTTATTACTTGTCATTTGTCCCTTGCAATTTTGGAAAATTCTAGTGACAATTGCCCAAAAAAATGAAAATAAAAAAATGGTATGACCTCAAAATAATTACGAAAAGATCGAAATAATTTTAGACTTCTGTTTAGGCATAATCTTTGTACATGCTATTTGATTTAGGAAATTTATTTATTTTTTGATATGCGAGTGTGCGGGCCAGCTTTCACACATCTCTCGGGACCTGAAGTTAACGACTGGGCAAATCTCCCGTGCCCCGAAGGTGTGACTCGAACTCGAGACATGATTTAGGAAAATTATTTAGTACACACCCAACATATGACCTAGTTGGAACATATGTGGTCTTTGGTTAGTTATGACTGCGTTATGATTGATTGTGACAATGGTTATAACATTACTGTAGTAATTATTATTTTGGTTATGATAAAAAGAAAAAAAAGAAAAAATTTATGACTCATTTATTTTTTAGTTATTACTGAAAACGGTTTAGTTTAACATTTGTGGTAACTTGCCTTTGGTGTACACCATTTTTGTGTATAGTAGCATGACCCTGTGATATATATACATATCTCAATCAATATGGATAATATTGTGGATTAACAAAATTTTACATGTAACGGTCAAATTACAGTTTGGCATTTAGGTAGCTAGTTAGCCTAGTTTCTTTCAGCTACGTTTGGACTTTTTTTTTTTTGGATTTGCAGAGGGAAATGAAAATGAAAGAATTTTTTTTTTAAAAGAAAATGAAGTAAAAGAAATTTGTTTGGTTGGGTCACTAAAATGAGTTTTTTGTTTTTTTTGTTTGGTTACCCATAAAAAATGATATGAGTAAATTGTTTAATTTTCCTTTTCCTTGATCCAATCATAGCATTATTGTTTCTTATGTTGTGATAAAACGAAATCATCTGTTTCGGAAACAAGACAAACTGAAGATATAGAACTCTTTTCTTAATCTCCTGGCTATATGTATACATATATTTATATTCATATATAGTTAGCTACTTGTGCAAGTATTATGTTTATTGGGTGGGTGGTGAGATTCGAGCACATGACCTTCTTAGTCTGGTATTATGTTAACTGCTAATTTGTCTTTAAGAGAGTGCGCAACATAACTACTTGTATTCTTTCTTAACATATAATCTCTAGCTATACGTTAAATTGTTATGTTTGAATCAAATAGTGGCTGATTGTGACATTTTGGATACTGTATGCTGCAGAAAGATTTATGGTTGTGTCATATAACATATTGGGGGACAGAAATGCTTCAAAACACAGAGATTTATACCCAAATGTTCCTTCAATTTACATGAAGTGGGATCACCGTAAGAGAATTATATGTGAAGAACTCATAGGAAGGAATCCAGATATAATCTGTTTGCAAGTAAGCTTTCGAATTCTTCCTCTCTTTTTTTTTTTCCCCCTTTTCTTTAATGCTATGTTTCCTTGGAAAAAAGTGACAGCTAACAAATGAAAATGCTAAAGAGAATTATAGTTCTTTAAGCATGTTAAGAAAATTTTTGTTGGTGTGTTGTTGTTAGGAGGTGGACAACTATTTTGATGTCCTGAACATTATGCAGAAAGCAGGATATATTGGTTCTTACAAGGTTAGTTGCTTTTTTGGGCTCTATATTGCTTATGAAGGCAGCTGATGTTGTTTTCAGATTGAGACCCTGTAACCATATACAGCTATTGCTTTAAATTATTTTGGAAAGAGTCTAAATCAGATGGTTCTGTAGAGACGCACAGGAGATGCCGTTGATGGTTGTGCGATATTCTGGAAAGCTGATAAGTAATATTTTTTTTAATTATTATTATTTTTTTTTATACTTTTGTGTTTCATAGATTCTGATTAGGTTAATATAATTGAATAATTTTTTTATTCCATTGTTCCAGGTTTCGGTTATTAGAGGGTGAGAGCATTGAATTTAAGGGATATGGTCTTCGTGATAATGTTGCTCAACTCTGTGTTTTTGAGGTACCAACTCATAAACAGAAAACGACATTTTAGTTGTGTTTGGTAAACTTTTATTTACATTTTGTGAGTTTAGCTTATGTATAATATATATAGTGGTTATCTAAGGAGCACGAATATTTCTAAGAAGGTAATGTGTTGTGCCCAACACTGACATGACACGACACTCGTCGGACACTTCCTGACACTTGGACAAACATTAAACACATTAGAAGTTTGAATAAAATAACTTAGAATCCAATGATAAAACAAAACAATGTAAATTTATGAATATTCTGCTCTTTTAGACTTTAAAAATTATTATTGTTGACTTAAATATTTATATATATGACTTATAATACTTATTTATCCTTATATATGACATATAATAAATATAAAAAATCAAATATTTTGCACTTGTCCTATATATTTTGAAAATTTGCATATCGGCATCTCCGTGGCGTGTCACTTGTCCATGCTTCTTAGGTAGTTATTCATGCATCTATATCCATTTGTTTCTATTCTGAAACTAAACTCAGAGAACAGGCAGGCACATTAACTCCAATCAAGAACTTTAGCAAAACCTTTTGCCTATTTTCAGATCCTTTTGCTGAGATATGTACATTCTATAGCCAAGTAAATAACTAATTAAGGGGTCTTGGCCACTCCAACATGGTATTCTGTGTTCACAATATGAACATGCTACATACATATGCCAATTTACTTGGGTTCAAAGTGGGCACCTCCTTCTTTCAATAAACTGTATTCCAACAAACACTTTAAAGGTGATCACACTATTTGGAAGATTGCATGAATTAGTTGTGTTACATAGAATTTTTTCCTCTCCATTCATTTGCATAAACTCAGAACTGTTATTGAATGTCCAGATCACTTGGTCAAGGATCTAAATCATTTGTATGATATTTACATGCTCTCTATTTCAGCATGATCTTTATTGTTGTATATGTTGTTCAATGTCACAATACACGTGTCTTACTTCATCTGATGCAGGCAGATGTGTAAAGCTGAGTCAAGAAGACTTGTAATTGGCAACATTCATGTGCTTTACAACCCAAGCAGGGGGGATGTTAAACTAGGACAAGTACGTCCTTTAGCATATATCCAACTCCCTTTTTTCCTTGAGTCAGTCATTTTGTTCCTGTTCACAGTTTTGATATAGGATTATTTTTTTTCTTCAGATTCGTTCCCTCTCGTCAAAGGCACATATCCTATCAGAAAAATGGGGAAATGTACCTGTTGTGTTGGCCGGTGATTATAACATTACTCCTCAGGTTTGGTATCTAAAACCATATGCTAGGTTTCTTTAACTAGGATAAGGCTCTGTAAAACTAGAAATCAATTACTTTATTCTCCTTGACAGAGCGCAATATACAAATTCTTGTCATCATCCGAGGTAACTTTATTATCATAATATTCTAAATTTTGCGCTCCATGACTGTAAATAACTGTTGTCATGCTAAAATCAAACTGCAGGTTTCATGTGTAACGAGCTTGCTTAATATTGAGTGTGGTTTTCTTATTTGCAGCTGAATATCATGTTACATGACAGAAGAGAGATGTCTGGTCAAAGAAGTTGCCATCCTGATCAAGTTTTTGGCAATGAACAACAAACAGGAAATCTGCTTGTTTTGATGGACAGGTGCATCATTTTTATAAGTTCTTCTAATACTAATTTAAGATATTGTTGAAATTCTTTTACTAAGCAGTAATCACCCTTAAACGTAAAAGCAAAAAAATTAAAAGATACAACTCAGTTTGACATATGATATGGAGCATGTTTTTGTCTAGTTAAATTCCATCATTACCTTGATGCATAAAATCTAGTTGACACTAGACTTTTAACTTTCGAAGATACAACAAACCATTAGTAGGAACTCTTGGGGTGCACTATAGAAAAGAGAACTTACGAACTTTAAGCCTTCAATTGATATCCAACCCCGTAAAACTCTTTTAGTGTATGTTATCTGGGAAAAAAAAAATATCATTAAGCTTTATGTATGTCGTCTTCTTTGCTAGCACGCAATTTTATTTTATTTTATTTTTTTAATATTTGGTGGTAGTGTTGCAATTCATATGCTCTGATGCATGTCATTTCAGGTTTTTCAATGGTTGCTGGACTGATGAAGAAGTTGTAGTTGCAACAGGCAATGCAGAGAGCCAAGTAGTTGTTCACCCTTTGAAGCTTAATAGCTCCTATGCCACAGTGCAGGTGTTGACTATAACTTTATGACATGGAGCTGCTTTATTTTTCAGATATTATATTATACTGATTTATCTGGGATGTTTTAATCTGTATTTTCTCAGGGATCTACAAGAACCAGGGGCTTTGATGGTGAACCTTTAGCTACTTCCTACCACTCAAAATTTATTGGAACTGTTGACTATCTATGGTAATTTGCTCTGCCAAAATATTCTAATAATGAACTTCAAATCAGCTCAATTATGTGGTGATTTTGGTGGCTGTGATGATGATAACAAAGGGTCTTGTGCTTTTTACAGGTACTCAGATGGTCTTGTACCCACACAAGTTCTAGATACACTTCCAATTGATGTCCTTCAGAAGACGGGTGGCCTTCCATGCAAGGTTAGAATGCTTTTCAATCAGCTACATACCAATTTTGGTTCGAGTAAATTTAGTGTTAGGCGGCATGAAGGGGGATTTTTTGGGCATAAAAACAAGATTTTGCCTAATAAGCCAAAGAAAATTACGTTGTTAAATGCCTTGACTAAATGATGAGGAGGGTATATAGCAGAAGAAACTCAACACAATAATACCACAGAATGTTTCAGTTTATTTTTTTGTATATTCAGAATCTGTTGAACTCAGCTATAACCAAATAACCTTTCAAAAATCGAAATGTATTTCATTTCAGGCTCGTTTCATAACTGTTTTGAACTCTCCATACTATTGGGTTTGGCTGATTAATTATTCTAGAATTAATTTGGATATCCTTGTGATTATGTGATTTGTTGGAATGGTATGTTCATGTCTTGGAGAACACTGTTGACAATATTGAATAATGTCAAGTTACAACAATAAAACATTTAAAACAAAATCCGGCCTTCAAGAACTTGGAGTATGCATGAATGCTTGGTGGTAACTAGAAAACACTAATACCTTAGTGATTTACGTATTGGTATGCATGTTCTAAAACATGGTACACTTCGTTCTAAAATGGTGAATTTAGCAATCCAAAGCGATCGTTAAATTTTTACAAATTTATTTCATGAAGGTTTCCTTGGAAGGAAAAAAAACAAATATAATGAATTAAAATCTAGAGAAAGTGGAGTTTTTGTTGGATAAAGATAAAATGTAAAAAATGTGCCATAATACATTTAGAAATGTACTGTTACTTGATTAATTGAAAAATAGATTATATTTTATTCAATCTCTTAGTTAGAAGTATAAAGTTCAAGAAATTAGGGTTAGGGTTGGAGAGAAAAGAGAGAGAGAGAAGAGAAGAACATATGATATAGAGAATAGATTATTGGGTCATAATGAAAAACCCTCACCCAGCATATATTTATATTAGAAACATTAATGTTATTATGACAATAATACCCTCAATATAAAAGAAAATAACATAATAAATCTAACACGTCCCCTAAAGTTGGAGCATACAGGTCGAACATGCCCAGCTTGGCAGACAACTGTTGAAACGAAGCACGAGGTAAAGGCTTGGTAAAGATGTCACCCAATTGGTTGTCAGAGCGAACATAAGGAGTCATCAGTTGTTTCTGGAGTAACAAATCGCGAATGAAGTGACAATCAATCTCAATGTATTTGGTACGTTCATGGAACACAAGATTGTTGGCAATGAAAATAGCAGCCTGATTATCACAACACATAGGCATAGGAGTAGGAATGGAAAGACCAAAATCATATAGAAAGGAGCGAATCCATAACATCTTAGAAGCCGTATGAGCCATAGCACGGTACTCAGCCTCGACAATAGAATGTGCCACAACATTCTACTTTTTACTCCGCCAAGTAACCAGGTTATCACCAACAAAAGTACAATAGCCAGAAGTAGAACGACAGTCAGTATGACTACTAGCTCAATCAGTGTCACTAAACCCGGTGATAGTCAAGGAAGTAGAAGGGCTATAAAGTAGACCGCGGCCTGGTGCACCCTTCAGATAATGTAAAATACGACATACAACATCAAAGTATGGATGGCGAGGAGCATGCATAAACTGACTAACCAAACCCACAGCATAAGTGATATCAAGATGAGTAACAGTAAGATAAATCAACTTCTCAACCAAGCCACAGTAGCGGCCAACATCAGAAAAGAAGTTCCCATGCTCACCATCAAGCTTAACGGAAGAATCCATAGGGGTATCAATTGGATGGGCACCTAAGAGACCGGTCTCGGTGAGAAGATCAAGGACATACTTTCGTTGGGAGAGGAAAATACCCTGGGAAGAGCGAGCAACCTCAATGCCAAAAAAATAACGAAGATGACCCAAATCCTTAGTGTGAAAGTTCTGACTTAAATAATGCTTTAAATCAGCAATCTTAGAAGAGTTACTATCGGAGAGGATAATGTCATCCACATAAACAATCAAGACAATAGTGCCAACAGAAGAATGGCGGACAAAAATGGAGTGATCATAGGTAGAATGCTGAAAACCATAGGCTAAAACAACCACACTAAAGCGATCAAACCAAGCATGAAGAGATTGTTTGAGACCATATAGAGCCTTCCGCAATTGACAAAGAAGATGCTCACTACCAAGAACAATATAGCCAGGGGGTTGATCCATATAGACCTCCTCTTGTAGATCCCTATGCAGAAAGACATTTTTGAGATCAAGCTAATAAAGGGACCAAAAGTGACTAACAACAATAGGAAGAAGGATCCAAATAGAATTAAGACGGGCCACAGGTGAAAAAGTCTCTAAGTAATCCATGCCACAAGTTTGTGCGTACTCTTTGGCAACGAGACGAGCCTTAAGGTGCTCAATAGAACCATCAAGAAGATACTTAACAGTGTAAACACAACGACAACCAACCGTAGGCTTCCCAGACGGGAGAGGCACAAGCTCCCAAGTCTGATTGGTGTGAAGTGCACTCATTTCCTCATCTATAGCAAGTTTCTATCCAAACATAGATAAGGCCTGCTCATAAGAAGATGGAGTGGAAATAGAAGACAAACTACAAACAAAGGAATGTAAGCAAGGAGACTTGAAAATAAGAGACAACATTTTGAATAGGATGTTGGGTACAAGTGCGTTTACCTTGGCGCAAGGCAATAGGAAAATCATTAGAGGATGGAGGCGGAGGCGGAGGCGGAGGCGGAGTCGGAGTCGGAGGCAGAGATGGAGCAGGGACCTCTGGCAAAGAAGATGAATCAGTTGGGCCATAAGAAACAACATGTCGAGTTTGAGATCACTGATACACCTGTAAAGGAAATGAGGGAGGTGGAGGAAGAGCGACCTAGGGGAAGAGAAATGAGGAGAAGAAGAGGATGATGCCAGGGGCAACGGAAGAGTAGGAGCAGGGCAAGAGAGCTCCCCCTTACGACAAGAGATGAGATTTGATGAGAACTGTATGCTAGAGGAAGAATAGTAGGGGGTGGACTCAAAGAACGTGACATCAGCACTAACAAAATAACGATGAGACTTGGAATGATAACACCGGTATCCTTTTTGGGTGCGAGAGTACCCTAACAAAAACACTTACGAGCCCGAGGAGATAACTTATCCTGACCAGGATCTAGGACATGAACAAAGGTAACACAACCAAAAATATGGGGAGGCAAGGGAAAAGGGGAACAGGTAGGATATAAAATGAAAGGGGGACTGATTATGTAAACAAAGGGCATACGATTGATAAGGGAGTAAGAAGTGAGAACTGCATTACCCCAAAACTGTTTGGGAACATGCATGTTAAACAACAAAGTACGAGCAACATCCAATAAATGACAATGTTTCCTCATAGCCACACCATTTTGTTGAGAGGTGTGAGCACAACTCGTTTGATGAATAATACCATGATCAACACAAAAGGAAGTGACAATGGACTGCATGTATTCTAAAGTATTATTAGAGCGAAAAACTTTAATATGTTTGCCAAACTAAGTAACAATTTCATTATAGAACCGCAAAATAACTTGAGATAACTCAGACCTCTGTTTTATTAAAAACAACCATGTCATTCGAGAAAAAATCATTAACAAAAATAGCAAAATAAAAAAAACCATTAATAGTGGGAGTACAAGAAGGTCCCCACATCCCTCTGTGTGGACTATATCAAAAGACGCGAACTCACGACTAACTCTACGACTAGGAAAAGAACTACGATGATGTTTCCTAAACTGACAAGCTTTACACTCAAGCTTTGACACATGGCTTAACCTAGGTATGGCTAACTTAAAGCTTGGCCGAAGGATGACCCAAGCAAAAATGCCACTGAAAAGGAGAGATAGTAACACTTATTGTGGAGGAAGTGCGGGGAAGGAGAGCAATCAGGATTCAAATAGTATAGGCCGTCCTTCTTATGCCCCAAACCAATTGTCTTCTTGGTTTGGAGCTCCTACAAGACACAAGAGGTAGGAGAAAAGGTTATGGAATAGTGTAAAACCTTAGTTAATTGACTAACAGAGAGCAAATTAAAGGGAAAATTAGGAACATAAAGACTAGAGGGTAGAGAAAGACTCAGTAGGATGAAGACTATCTTTCCCACTAATAGGTCTGGAAGACCCCTCAGCAAGAACAATATTATGTGTAACAGAGTGTAAACCAATGAAAAGAGAGGGATTACCGGACGTATGAGAACTAGCGCTAGAATCTAGGAGCCAAGGTTGAGGAGAGGTGGCCAGACACATAATATTACTTGAACTAGCCAAGGTAGCAGTAGATGATGCAGGGAGAGCATCACGAAGGGAATGAATAAGCTCAGTCAACTTGCTAATATGAGTAGTAAGTGCATCACGTGAATCAGACGAAGAAGCCTGCTGAGAAGAAGGTATTTGTTGAGAAGAAGGAACTTCATCCACAACTTGATGTACATAATCGGGTTTACCATACTTCTTCCAACACCAAGGTTCAGTATGACTAGTGGAACCACAATGATCACATTTCCTATCACCACGAGAGGGGTTACCACCACCATGAGAACCATCCCCTCGAGGAGCAATGTAAGAACCTCCACCACGAGACAGAGTGCCATGAGAACTATGAGAGCCACGGTTACCAAATCCACCACTAAAAAGACCACGAGAAGGACCTCGACCACCACTACTAGAAACCAAAGTAGAAGCAGAAGTTGTGGGGTAGGAGTGCCCTAGCCAAGGGATGAACGTAATAAGCGGAAGTAGGCATTAACAGCGGTAGGCAAGGTCTCACTAGCAAGGATTTGATCCTTAAAACCCCATAAATCAGAATCCAAGCCAGAAAGTAATGAGGCAATCATAAACTCTTCCCAATAACGCTTCTATTGTGCGACATCAGTAGTAAAGGGATGATGTTGCAAGAGTTGATCCCACATATTCTTAAGGGTGCTGTAATATTCAGACAACAGACGACCAGACTGCTTAGTGGCAAATATCCTCTCATACAACTCATATACATGGGAAACGTTACTTGGATGAGAAAAAGACTTGGCAAGAAAGTCCCAAATCTGCTTAGAGGTCTCACAAAACTCAATGGTAGTGGCAATATGAGGTTCCAAACTATGCCAGAGCCATCCTATCACAATTGAATCCTCGCTTAACCAATCATCATAAGTCTTGTTTTTAGCATAGGAGGAAGATCGGAGAGATATTTCTGTTTCCTTTTACAATGGAGAAACACTTTCATAGCATGTACCCAAGCCAAATAATTGAGACCATTCAGTTTCTTTGTAGTGATTGATTTAGGTAAATCATCATCCTTAAGGACTGTAGGGGGTTTTTCTTCAGCCATAAGAACAAACAAGAGGAACTGAAGCAAAAACAGTAACAACCACAAATGGAGAGCTTCAAACAAAGACTCAAAGGACCACAAAACCTCAAAGCAACTTCAATACAGACCTTCTAAGGTTCAGTTGGCACCCACAGAGGGCTGAGAGAAGCAAGAAATCAAATGGGTGAACCACCCATAACAACAATGACATAGCATCAGGTTGAAAAAACACACCCAGGAGCCTTAAATCACCAAACCAATCTCAAAGAAGGCCTTTAATGGCCCAATCGGCTCCCATAGGATAGATTACAATGAAGAAAAATCACAGGAAAAGTTTCTAGAAGCATATTGCAAAATACCACCAATATATTTCGAAAATACTTTAAAAAATCAAAACAAACATCAAATGGCCCCAAAAAAGTTCACAAAAATCACCAAAAATACTAGGAGGATGAGACGTATCAAACCATGTATTTGCCTGGTCCTGACGTTCGTACAGATGCTGATGTCATGCTGACATCATCATATGGAAGATGATGTCAGCACGTCTAGGTCACCGTGTGGAAATTTTAGACTTTAACCAGACAAATTATTATAGGATTGAAGTGCTCTGATACCAAGTTAGAAGTATAAAGTTCAAGAAATTAGGGTTAGGGTTGGAGAGAAAAGAGAGAGAAGAGAAGAACAGATAATATAGAGAATAGATAATTGTGTCATAATGAAAAACCCTCACCCAACACATTTATATTAGAAACATTGATGTTACCATGACAATAATACCCTCAATATAAAATAAAATAACTTAATAAATCTGACACTCTTATTGTTAAAAAAATGTTCTAGAAGTACCTTAAATTCCAATAATGTAACCTGTTTAAGTCTATTCCTATTGTACCATTATTTGGAGTATGTAGCATTCTATGTTCCTCCTTTTGTTCCACATGCCAGAATGGTCACACTCAGAGTAGTCCAATTTACGTGTATGCTTGAAATCTACTTTCTTGAAAGAGAAAATCTAATTGCACCTTGTCTCACATGAGTGTTTCATTCTGTGAAAATATTCTATGTTCATAGCACAACAGCTGTTCTTAAAATTCTGCACCAACCAGTTTCCAACAATAGCATTAACTTTTTCTTAATTGGGCAGAAATTGGGCAGTGACCACTTGGCCTTGGTTTCTGAGTTTGCCTTCACGCCCATCAGAGAAGACAGTGTAAACAACACAGCTTCAGCCATTATCTCAGCCGCCAACTTATCATCTGAAGAAGAAGATTCATTAGTTTAATTGGTACATGGTTTTCTATAAAACTAATGTATTAACTCAATCTTGGTGAGAATACTAGAAATATGGTTTGATGTGCTTTTGGCTTGAAGGACACCAATTTTTGTTTTACCTTTTATTCGTTTTAGTTTCCCAAGTGTAAGCCAATTTTGAGACAATTCTTACATTTTGCACTAGAATTAATTTGTGGTGGCAATATAACATGTAGTCGGTAGAATTCTACTCTTAGTGTATAATCAATGATCAGCCATAGTTTGGGTTGTAATTATCAATGATCTTATGTAATATGAATACACAAGGTCAGCTGAATTTGGGTTGTTTAGTCACTACACAAACATATAATGGTGTCTGAGCCAGGATTACCACACTATAATGTGAAAGACATGCCAGGAGTTTCTTTTCCTGTGGCTCTTCACTTCACTTGCCACAACTGAACCGGGCACGAAAATTTATGAGGGTCCGTTTGTGTTGGGTAGTGTAAATCTTGATATGTACTGGATAGTAACCACTTAATTGCAGGTATTTTGGTTTTTATGCAATTGTGGAGTGTAACTCTAATTTCATGTATATGTAGTTGGGGGTGTAGTTATGTCTATATTTTGTTTATAACTCTTTCAAATCATATTGAAACCGCAGCGAATGTGAACGCATTCCTAATTTTGAAGTAAAGCACTTGTAAATCTTGTATTCTTGTGTGTGCACGTGATTTTACAATTACTATTTTATTTTTATTTTTGCTTTTATGTATCTCACTAATCTTGGTTATGTGTTATGAAATTCATAATAGTTTTGTATAACTTCTTGCAAAATTGAAAGTTGCTAATCTGAAAACAAAAACTAAAGCATCCTTTCTCTAATTTCTTGATACTCAAGTTTTTAAATCATTTTTGCCTCATATGCTATAAGTTGAAGTCACACTAAACACTTTCAAACAAATCTCTTTTTTTTTTTAAAAAAAAAAAAAAATGAGAAAAGAAAATAAAAAGAAGGTAAATTACACTGTTATCCCCTAGAGTATGACCATTTCCTCACTTCGGTCCTTAAAGAAAAAAATTTCACTTTGATCTTTAAACTATTAAATTCTTTCCACTTTACTCCAAATCCTTATGACTGTTATACTTATGTGATGGAAATAGAATAAATTATACTTTTACCCTCTAAAGTACAAGTTTTCCCCCCACTTTGGTCCTTAAAGAAAAAGATGTTTCCAACCCACCATCTAATCTCCTCATCCAGCTTCTACACTTCTATTCACAGCCTCTTTACTCCGCAAATGACACATGTTGAATTTTTTTATTATTTTCAGCTATCCTATATAAAATTGGTTTTTGAGATTAGATTGTCTTGGAAATGGAAATGATTTTGAGATTAGGTTAGGTTGGGATTTATGGACTAAAGTGAAAAAAATATTTTTTTACGGGATCAAAGTGAAATTAATTTTTTGGGACTAAAATAAGAAACTTAAAATTTGAAATTTCTAAATTGACACTTAGCTATGACAAAAGTTGACAATTGTAGCAACGTGGGAAACAACAAATAATTTAGGAACCAAAATGGGAGAATATATTTCTTTCAAGACCAAAGTAAGAAATGAATCATATTTTTATGGTGAAGTGTAATTTATCCAAAAATATATATAAGCAGACAAACAGGGCAGTGCTGCTTCCAACATGGAAGTGTATGGTTCTCCTGAGCCATTGGACTACTTGTGGGATTCAGGTGTGGAGGTATACTATCATACAGTGAGTTTGAGTAATGCCTGTTTGGATTTCTCAGCCTCTCTCTCATTGCGAAGAGCTTTTAGTCTATGCAATGTCCTGGTCAAGACTAGTGGAGATCCCCAGTAATTCAGAGAAAAGGTGGTAAGGTTGAAGAAGAAGAAAGGTTCACACTGGTAAAACTGCTAATTTGATGGAGGAGAATACTGCAAAAAAGCCTCATCAGGTATGAATTGATCAATATGTCTCTTACTTGAGTGTTTAGTCAAACAGGGATGTACTATGAATGCCTTAGCCACTGAATTGTTTGATGAGTATGCCTCAATAGGGCACAGAGTATGGTTTGATGATTATGTCATAGATTGAATTAAATATTTCCTACAAATTTTTTTTCCCCATCAAATGCATTGTATTCAAAGTTTTTTTATTTTCCTTTCCCTTCATAAATCCAGGACCCAAACATAGCATCACTGAAAATTTAACTGATTTTATTGAACATATCATCATATAAGTGGAAGTGCGTGATTAGTGTTGAAATAAATTATTTCTAAAAGAACTCACCGCAAATTATGTTTGATTAATCCTGAACATGCATTTTCCGTTCCGGAATTTGCTATGTATATGATCTTACGAATTGTGTAATTGGTGCTATAGGAAAATCTTGGTCCGGAGTGAGAAATAAACTCTATTTAAATAACTTATTTGACTACAGGATGATATGAACTCTACAAGAACACAAAGCCTTGCTAAATAATAATAGTGCACACCAAAGGTTAACTCCAGCATAGATAACAGTAAACATAAGAAAACAATCCACTCTATATTTATTATTCTTTGTCACAAACACAATGCAACTATGAAGCACGGACACCTCTCCTGAGGTCATGTACAGATGTCCGACATGTATCGGACACGAACAAGTGCTAGTCATGCTCCGGACACGTGTCGGACATGCTGGAGGAAGTGACACGCAACAGACATGTTGGGGACACGCAGTGTCCCACTTTTTTTTCACAAAAGTTTCATACCCAAGGTTTGATCAGAATAAATATTTGACATAGAATAAATTTATAATATTTTAGAATATATGAAATAAAAAAATATATATAAAATTATATGTTTTGCACGTGTCCTACACGTGTTGTGTCATGCATTTTTTGAAGATTTATGTGTCCTTGTGTTCGTGTCGTGTGTGTGCTTCTTAGCAATGCATGCAGTTTTGTCAATAAGATCAATTTGTGAAAGAACTGTCAAAGAATGTGACGGTTGTAGAGTTCTGCTACAGTTTACAATGACATGATTTATTTAAAATCCTTTAAACCTAGATAATATACTAAACTTTCAACCCAACAAGAAAGAGATGCACCACATATGGCATTTTCCATATGGTTAATGGATAACAAAAGCCTCTTTTTTATAATTACAAGGACCCATAGGAAGTCCAGTTTTTTTTTTTTTTTTCACTGGAAAATGAAATCCTAAGTAAACACAAAATCTCAGTGATTTTTATTCATTTACTTGCTGAAGGATTTTGTTGAGGCTGATTTCGCTGTTTGTTCTCCGTTCCTTTTTATTGCTGCATCAGCACATCGAACATTTGATGCTTAAATACAGCAAAATCCTGTGTCCAAAATAAACAAGCAACTTAATTCAAATTGACAAAATTGATCCAAGTACATAATATGGCGTTAAGTAATGCAAAATCTTACCCCATTATAAAGCATACCAATGAAGCGCAACTTCTCGATGGAAACAGAAAGTATTAAAGTTTGCTGTGGCAGCTTTATATAGGCACTCTGAAACCAATAGAAATTAATATATATCTTCAGCATTGTTGGTACATTTTGTTAGAATTAGAAGATCAATGCAGTCCAAAAAGAAAAAAATACAGAGCAGCATTGGATGTTTGTGCACTTCTAATATGGTGCCATGGTATTACAAATAACCATGTGGGCACCTTGGTGCAATGATGAAATCTACCAAACCCTTTGATCAAAATCAAGAAGTATATAGACATATGCTAGTGTGTTATATTGCATGCGCTAGGAAATTATAGGACTTCAGTAGCATCATTAACTCAAACTTTTTATTTGAAAATACAATTTGAACTACCTCAGAGTTGCTTTATATTTTAGTGGTAATTGTATCAATAGTATTATCTATTGATGGGAGGATTACACTTATTAAGTCTTTTTTGTCAAACTTGCTGATTTATTAGGTTACCGGTGAGTCTAGCTGAGGAGTCGGAAAATCTTCAAAGATGCTTTTTGTGGGGTGATAGTGATGATAAAAAGAAGGGAGAATTTCAAATCAATGTAGAATTTGAAAAATAATTATAAATTAATGATAAACTTTATCAATATTAATAATTAAAATTATAAAATTCTCCATGCATATGTAATAATTTTCACAAATTGCCACTGACAAGTAATTGTCCCTAGAAAGAAAAGCATCCAATCATTTGGAATATTGTCACTTTGAATAAGAAAAATGGGGGTGTGGATGATTAAGAATTTAGCATCATGGTGGAGGTTTGAAGTTGCAACAAAAGCTCTCTTTGGTGTGGGGTGGTGCTTGAGAAATATAGGTATTCTCCACATGTCTGGTTGCTTACCTTGGAAATCTTGAAAAGGGTTTTAAGATATTGAAGGACATTGTATCTTAGGTACTAAGGATTTTTTTTTTAATTTCAAGGGGTTGGTCTGGTGTTCAAGACTTGGGTCCTGGGGGTGTGCTCCCTCCAATGTCTTTGGCTCGAAACCTCTTAGGTGCAAACAATTTCTTGGGCCAGTTGCCCTAGCGTTAATTGTGACCCCTACAAGTAGATGGTGGGATTGGTCCCCGAATTAGTTGGTCAAATGGGCCCGAGTTATCAAAAAAAGGTACGAAGGATTTTGTGCTGTAGAATATCTTGAAGGGAGGTTTGCTAATCAAAGTTGGTTAAGGGAATCAACTAGATTTTAGACTGATGTGTGGTTAGGAGAAAAATCCTTGAAAGATTAATATCCTAGACTCTTTTTAATTTTCTTATACAAGAACGAATGTTATGAAGTAATTTTGCGGTTATTTCGGAAGACAAAGTAGTTAGCATTTCATCATTAATGTAAACTATAATTTAGAGAAATGTGCCAAACATTAATAGCAAAAATTTAAACTATCATAATGAGAAATTTGAATATTTCTCTAGAAAAGTAAGGAAACTGTATAGAAAAAAATGCAGATTTACAAATGACGGAGGAAAATTTTCTGGCAGAGTACTCACCATCCTATTTTCTTCTAGTTGGTCGAGTTTTGATTGATGATTCATTGCATCAACGATGAGATACTCCACTTCGCCCTCATGTCGGCTGATAAGTAGAAAGCCAACATTAGTTGATAATTCTTAACCAATTTTAAACATAAAGTTGCCAAGGAAATTCTATAAACAAGTGGACTATTGAGGTTTTGTTTGTGCCATACGTGTCATCAACGGGAGGCTTAGCTATAAGCCGTTCCATGTGTAGTGTCTTTGGCCAGTTGGCGACAAGCCTGAAGACAAAAAAGTTAAGATCGTCTAAACAGAGATAGTGTATATAATTTTTATAAACTACCAAAAATCTAAATGTTCTGCTGATAGAAGCTGAAGAAAATTAGCAACGGAAGGACTATAAATGGTTTTAAAAGAAACAGTAATAACTGCTAAGAAAGATAAATTGATTTTATAAGAAAATTCAGAAAATGAACAACACACTTCCCGAACTTACATCTCTGAAGTTGTTTTCTTCCTGTAGGCCTGTCATGAAAAAAGAAAAAAAATTAGCAATCAACGTAAATAATTAGCCAAATCTAGGCTATTGGTTCATAAATCGTTTGAATGAATAAAGGAGCTGAAGGACTAATGTGTGCGGAGTGTTTAAAAAAAATTTGTATTCAAACACTCATGCGCGTTGGGGTTTTACTCACCACAAGCTAAGAAGCACCAACACACAATACTGACACGACATAGACACGCCGACATGCAAGTTTTCAAAATATGTAGGACACGACAAGTGGGGGATACGTGCAAAATATATAATTCTATATATTTATTATATGTCATATATAAGGATAAATAAGTATTATATGTTATATATGTGAATATTTAAATTACCAATAATAATTTTTAACGCTAAAGGAGGAGAATAGGTATAAATTTACATTATTTTTGTTTTATCATTGAATTTCAAGTTATTTGATTCAAATGTGTAATGCGTTTCATATGTATCTAAGTGTCGGGAAGTGTCCGACAAGTGTCGTGTCAGTGTCGGGCACATTATGTTACCTTTTAGAAGTGTCCGAGCTTCTTAAACCACAACTATAAAACCAATGAATAAACTTCTACAAAAATCAATAAGTAATGAAAGCATGGATCTACAAATCAGTGAATGGAAAACATTAATAAAATAATGTCATAGAATAAAATAAGAGTTAATAAAATAGTGTGTGAGATTGTAAGAGGCACTAAATAGAGTCATAACCTTAAATACCAAGGTATATAGAACGGTTTTGTGAACAAAATACTTGATTTGAAACTTGTTTAACATTTTCATTCAATCTAAACAGACAACTACTTCTAGCCATTTGTTCAGAAAAATACCACCAGTCTATTGACAACCACAGTTTGTCCTTTTTCGTTTGTTGTCAAATCTCCCTGTAGACACAAAGATATTGAGAGATTAGACCCTGTAAGTTATAATTGTCAATTACTTTTACCAAGAAAATTGAGAAACCAAAATCAAATCTTAAATCTGAAATTTATATTTTTAGCTTATTAACACACTTCACATAGGTTAGTTGTAAACCAAAAGGAAATAAAGTGGAATTTGGTGACTTTTAATATGGCTTTGTTAGGGAAGTGGATGTGGTGATATGCTTGGGAACAGGACCGTCTATGGTGGAGGGTGATTGCTTCCAAGTTTGGAGTGGATAGGGGGGATTGGTGGACGAGGGATGTGATTGGTTCTCATGGTTGGGGTTTGTGGAAGGGGATTAGGTTAGGGAGGGGAGAGTTCTGGGATCAGGTATGGGATAAGGTAAGTTTTTGGGGTGGGGAATGGGAAGAGGGTTCAATTTTGGAAGGATAGATGGTGTGGGGAGGTTGTATTGGGGGGTGCGTTTCCCTTTGATCTTTGGTATTGCTTTGGATCGGGAGGCTTCTGTGGCTGATTGTTTGGAGAACGGGGATGGGGGTGGTTTGGTATATTCAGTTGCAACGGCAAGTCCAAGATTGGGAAGTTGAGCAGTTAAGGGAAATGTTTAGCTTCTTGTATGGGTTGGGGGTTATGTTTGGGAGGGGGAGGGGGATGTGGTGGTTTGGAATGTTTCGAATACTAAGGGACTGCTTTCTGTCTCATCTTTTTATTGGATTTTGGGAGAGGGGTGACAAGGGTTTTTCCTTGGAGGAGCATCTGGGTGCCGGGTGTTCTGTCTAAGGTGGTTTTCTTTTTATAGACGGCTGCCCTAGGACGGAATCTTACTATTGATAATCTGGTTTGCCGAGATCATATGTTAGTGAATTGAGGTTGCATGTGTTGTGCTGGTGCAGAGTCTGTAGATCATTTGTTTCTTCATTGTCATGCTACATCGCCGCTCTGGGGGCTTATGTGTTCTTTGTTTGGGATTGTTTGGGTGCAGCCAAAGGGGGTGATGGAGATGTTGTGGAGCTGGCGGGGCGCTCAGGTTGGCCATCATCGTTGACGGATTTGGTTGTTGGTGCCTTTTTATTTGATGTGGTTGGTTTGGTTGAAGAGGAATCATTGTACTTTTCAAGAAACTTCACATTTGATGTCGTGGCTTGAGAATTGATTGCTAGTTACTTTGTATAGTTGGTTGGAGAAAAGGGAAGATCCGGATTTGTTCCTTTTTTTAGACTTTTTAGATAGCGTCATTGATTAGGCTTCGTAGTGTCTTCTTTGTTGAGTGCTTTGTATTCTTGGCATCATTTTGATGCTTTTTCAATAAAGTTCATTTATTTATCAAAAAAAAAAAAAAGGGAAACAAAGAGGAATAAAATGAGATTACTTCTTTAATCATAAACTTTTGTCCAAGTTAGTCTCAACTAGAATTACCTCCCAAGCCTTCACATATCCATCAGGTGGTCTTTCTAGGAGAGTTCCACTTGCATATGACGACAGAGCAGTTTTGATGCCGAAAGTGTTAGTTATAGCAAGAGATTCCTTTGCCCCTTGTTCAGAATTTCCCACCATAGAACTTGAATTGCATGCACCATTTGTTATACTGGATTGACCAAAGGCATTAATAAGTCTCCGTTTCAAGTGATATTCATCTTGTGCCATTTGTGCCCATTGAAACTGTCGTCCTGTCTTGCTAGGCAGTGACTGACTGGCACTTGCAGATACTTGAAAATTTTCTAAACTCCGGTACTTCTTTGATTTTTTATAAGTTGCAGAACCAAAAAAGCCGGTTGCATTCTTTCGTGCAGCTCTTGGAGCCCCCAGTGATTTTGGTTTAAAAGATGAAGGCACACTCTGACAAAGGTTTCCTGGAGACTGTAGAGCACTGAAGGCTGAAGGAAGTGAACAAGTGGTTGCATATTGTGCACTTTGATGAGTCTTCGCTAAAGCTTCTGAGTTAGCTGTGAGTGACCACATGGCCTGGTGAAAGCTCTTATATTCACTGCCAATCATTTGAGATTCTGAGGGATAACCTGCTGCTATGGTTGTCGATTGCAAACCTTTGTGTTGATTTACATTGCTTAGAAAGCTTGAATTTTCTGCTGCTGCTATAATCCCAGGGCTTGTCCTTTGTGATAAAACAGCACCTGTTGGTGTAATCTTCAGATTGCTGTGATTGCCGAACCCTTTCTCAATCTGAGAAGTACTTGAATTTGGAGATTCTTGCATTGGTTTCTCGGAAATTAGATCATCTTGTTCCTAAACAAGAGTGTAATTAGTTAACCACATTGCAATGGTAGTTTACCAAAAAGACAAAAAACTTCTCCCACTGCAAGAGGGTTCATGAAGTTCAATAGAATGAATGCTAAAATATATATACCAGTCTCGGACAAAAAAAGTTGGGCCCAATTTAGTTCCCATTGGATGGGAGTCTAGGAGATGTTGATTGAGTACAGAACTAACCTTTGGGATTAAGGTGGGGTTTGGCAATTGCTTTTTTAGTTGCTTTTTTGCATTTTTTTCTTTTTTAGAATCTGAAAAAGCTAATGCATTTGATAATTGCTAAAATAGTTGCTTTTTTGTTAATGGGAAAGTTGGCTTTTTTAGTTTTTTTTTAGTTGCTTTTTAACCGAAAACAAACTTACTTTTGTCTTTTTAAAAAGAAGCTTTTTTAGTCCAAACCAAATGACGCCTTAAGTGTACAAAGTGGCTGCCCTCAGGTTTGAACCTACAACCTCAAGGTTGAGGGACCAAATCTTAACCACTGAACCAGTGGTCTTTGAAAGAATCCAAGAAATAGAAGGGGAGTCACACAAGTTTTACCAGTAAGTCAAGAAAAGTTGTGATATCTTCTTTAGGGATTTCTTGCCAATTAATAGTAGATTCACTCTCTATTCCCCCAAATATCGTGATGGTGCCATCTGAAAAAATAAATAAATTTGATTCTAAGTTTTGTATAAAGTAGAGAATTAAGTATATTTAGCAACTGGATAATAATTAGGTATGTGAAACAATATGGAAAGCACAATAATTCAAACATTTCTTCTAATCTTGGTCATAAAAAACTTGTACCATCTCCACATGTTCCCCCCACAATTTGTTGTGGTAGAGTCGAAGTAGAAACACTTTGTGCAAGTTTTTCTAGCTAACTCATTAATGAATTACTCGACTTTTCCTGGATTATCATGCAGTCATCATCTGATAAAGAAAAATAAACATGGTAAATTATAAACATTACCAAATGCCACCTAAATGATAATAAGTACGGACACTTCTAAAAAATTAATGTGTCATGTCCGACACAATGTCGAATACAGACACGAAACACAACACTCGTTGGATACTTTGGAACACACATGAAACACATTTCAAGTTTGAATAAAATTACTTGGCATCCAAAGATAAAACAAAAATAATGTAATTTCATACCTATTCTTCTCCTTTAAACTTTAAATTTATTATTTTTGGACTTAAATATTCATATATATATGATATATAACAATTATTTATCATTATATCTGACATAATAAATATATAAAACTACAAATTTTGTACATGTTTTCCACGTGTTGTATATTACCTTTTTTTTAAAAAAAAAGTTATGTGTTAGCGTGTTGATGTCGTGTCAATTTCGTGTCATATGTTCGGGCTTCTTGGTGTAAAACATAATCAAAAGTGCCAGAATTCAAACATTTCTTCTACTCTTGGTCTTAAAACACTTGTACCATCTCCACATTATGCATAAATTGATGTTTCCACTGGTCAACCACATTTATAAGTAAATGATTTGATCATTTTCTTTTGATTGCCAGGGTTATAAAACTTTTACCATCTTCACATTGTTCTCTCTCATGTTTCTGTTGCTCAGGTGCAGTCCAGGGATCATTTTCTGCAACATGTTCTCGCTGATCTGTCACAGCAGATTGATTTATTGCTTCTTTCAATATCTTCATCATGTCATTAACTGACAAAGAAAAATTGATGGTAAGTGTTTCACAAACTAGTTAATTAATGAAAAATACAAGAATATTATTTTGGTTGTTAACTAATATTGTAAGCCCAATAATTTTAAATGCTAGCCTTCTTTGCTTCTTGTTGCTATATTAAACTTTTACCACTTTTACTTTTTTCATTCTTTGTCATCTGCTGTGCACTTGTGGTAGGAATATTTTCAGCAAGCAATTCTTTCTGACCGGTCGTCGATTCACTCATTACTATAATTTCTTCATCTGAAAAACAAAAATCAATAGTCAGCATGCAAAAAAAGGAAAGAAAAAGAAGAAGAAAAAAATAGAGGAATAAATGTAAATTAGCATCACATTTATCGTCCATCAGTAGTAGTTCAAGTTCAGCAGCAGTAAGAATATTTCCTGTTGGAATTTTGTGTTGACTTGCAGGCAAGGGTCCACTGATTATGTTTTGGATCATCAAGAAGTCCTCATCTGAGAAAGAACGACAATAGCAAGTGTTACACAAAGTGGAGTTAAGTATATATGATGGAAAATGGCAGCAGCCAATTAAAGTCTATAAAAGGCGTGGATCCAATGGTTCTAAGGCCCAAGCCTTAATTTGGCATATGCTAGATGATGTGGGGCCTACTTGGGAGATTAACTAGACTTGGGATTTATTTAAAAGTGTCTTTTGAGTTTCTCAAGTCAAATGTCTTTAAATTTCTAGTCAAGGTCTTTGGGTTATTTAGTTGGTCAAAGAGTCTTCTAGAGTCTTTCACATGATTAATGCATTAAAGAGTCCTAGGGAGTCTAAGTTAGTCATGTCATTTAATTTGGAAAGTTTTAGAATCAAGATGAAGTGAGTATAAATTATATTGCAAGTCTTGTGGCAAATTATGAATGGAATGAATGAAAATTAAGCTTATGCTTCTATGATTGTGCTGATGCAATCTTTCTTTAGTGTGATGCTAAAGAGCCCATTGGTGTGATGCCTTGGGTTTTCTAGGTGTGATATCTAAATCTATCCTTCTTTAACCCTTCCTCTACTTCCTACAAATCACTGTTCACGTCTACTGTTCATATTTACTGTTCACAACCCCCAAAACAGCCTTGTTATTTGTGTTTTTGCTCATACTTAGGCCTATTTCGAATCTGTCCTGCATCAACTTGGTATCAGAGCGAGAGTAGCATCATGTCTACACGATCCGGAAAGCCATTTAGAGGAAGATTAACTGATTACCAGCGTGACGAAATTCTGCTGAAGCTTGTGGAGCAGATAGATAATTTTAGTCTGCACATCAATACTTTGGAAGGCCAAACAACTCAACCTAACAATGATGAACAAGGAGAAAACTCTGGGAATAACAATACTAATGAAAATGGCGAAAATCAAGGCGAGCGCACGGAAGAGCAGCGTGTAGATCCGCTACGAAGGCAGCAATTAAGGGCTGGCCAAAATCAGGGAAGGCAGCAAAATTCCATGTCTGATTGGGCCCATAATTTATTGCAAAGGAACCAATATGAGACCTATGATTCAGCCGGAGATATCACTAAGAAGATTAAAATGGAGGTTCCAGATTTTGAAGGTAAGGTCAATCCTACTTTGTTTCATGATTGGCTTGCTTCTATTGAAGAGTACTTTGACTGGTACGATATGGCTGACGATCGGCGAGTGAGATTTGCTAAAATGAAGCTTGTTGGATTAGCAAAAATCTGGTGGATGGGTGTGGAAGGTGATATTCGAAGGTTGGGGCAGCCACCAATTGGTACTTGGCAGGAGATGAAAGCCAAGTTGAAGGAGAAATACATGCCATCAAATTACCATGAGAAGTTGTGTGAACAACTGATTGAATTAAAGCAAAACTGCATGACAGTGGCTGAATATATGCAGAAATTTGATGAGCTAAAGATGAGGAGTCAAATTACGGAAGATTCAAGTCAAGCTCTTGCTCGGTTTAAGGCTGGTTTGAGGCCCGACATAAGAAGGGAGTTGCTTCGCCAACCCTTGTACAGTTCGAACATGCCTTCCAAGTTGCTTTGGATATGGAGGAGTATTTGAACTACCCAATTTCTAAAAAGTTTGTGTCTCAAGTTGGGGAAACCATAACTAAGGGGTACAATGATGCAAATCGTTTCCGGTCCAATGTTTCAAAGCAAACTTTTGTCAATACGGCTGACCCAAAAGGGAAGAATTATGCAGCTAACAAAGGAAACAGGAAGGAAACCAAGTGCTTTAAGTGTGGTGAATCTGGTCACATGGCATTTCAATGTCCAAAGAGGAGTTTACATATGGCAGTGGAGCAAGAAGCTGAATTCGATCAACAAAACAATGATGATTCCTTTGATGTTGGGGTACTAAATACAGATGACTTAGAAGATGAAGAGGTGGACAATTCTCTGATTTCTGTTGTTAGGCGCATCCTTGCAGCGCCAAAAACTGAAAAGGAAGATTGGAGGCGTACTTCTATTTTTCAAATGCTGGTTCGCTGTGGAAACCAAGCTAGAAAGCTTATCATCGATGGTGGTAGTTCCATGAATGTTGTATCTGCAACCACGGTGGAGCGTCTTAAGCTTCCTGTTCAACCACATCCTCATCCATATAAGGTAGCTTGGATCGATAACACGTCCATTCCGGTAACTCAGCGCTGCCTAGTCTCTTTTTCGTATGGTTCTTATAATGATTCTATCTGGTGTGATGTAATTCCCATGAATGTCACACATATCCTTCTTGGAAGACCATGGCTTTATGATAGAGATGTGCAGCATTCTGGAAAAGAGAACACATGTGCTTTCTCATTCAAGAACAAGGAGATTGTTTTGAAGCCAATGACTACAGCTGAAATGGGAAAATTCAAGGAAAAGAAGCCAAGGGATGTCACTGAAAATAAGCCAAAAGCTCTCCACATTCTCACCAAGAAGTGTTTTCAAGTTGAGAGTATGGAACTGGGAGTTATATATGCCGTGGTGGTGAAAGAAGTGTCAGATTTAGTTGCTGAATCTGTCTCTGAATTGCCGACAGAAGTAGCCAAGTTGCTGTCCCATTTTTCTGATGTTGCCCCCAAAGAACTCCCAGATGAATTACCTCCCATGCGCAATGTCCAGCATGCAATAGATCTCATTCCTGGATCACAATTGCCTAATCTTCCAGCCTATCGCATGAATCCAAGGGAGCACGCAGAGCTTAAAAGGCAGGTAGATGAGCTACTATCTAAGGGGTTCATTCATGAAAGTTTAAGTCCCTGTGCTGTTCCAGCTTTGCTTACACCCAAGAAGGATGGTAGTTGGCGCATTTGCATAGATAGTCGTGCTATAAACAAGATTACAATCAAATATCGATTCCCTATCCCGAGGCTTGATGATATGTTGGACATGTTGGCTGGGTCTTGTCTATTCTCAAAGATTGATCTGAAAAGTGGCTACCATCAGTTACGTATAAGGCCAGGAGATGAATGGAAGACAGCTTTCAAGACCAAGGATGGCCTCTACGAGTGGCTAGTCATGCCATTTGGTCTAACAAATGCCCCAAGTACATTCATGCGCTTCATGACATAGGTATTACAGCCTTTCATTGGTCACTTCCTGGTTGTTTATTTTGACGATATTCTAATCTATAGCAAGACCAAGGAGGAACATATCTTTCATCTTCAACAAGTTTTGAGGGTCCTCCGTCAAGAGAAGCTCTACATTAACTTAAAGAAGTGTTCTTTCATGAGTCCAATGGTTGTATTTTTGGGTTTCATTGTGTCGTCTAGAGGAGTGGAAGCCGATCCAAGTAAAGTGAAAGCTATCCTAGAGTGGCCAATTCCAACCTCCTTGCATGAAGTTCGCAGCTTTCATGGGCTGGCAACTTTTTATCGTCGGTTTATCAAGAATTTCAGCACGGTAATGGCACCTATCACTAATTGTATGAAAGGGGGACAGTTTGTTTGGACAAAGGCAGCAGCAAAAGCTTTTGAAGACATAAAGAAGATGATGTCTGAGGCTCCTGTTCTACACCTTCCTGACTTCTCAAAGGTATTTGAGTTGGCGTGCGATGCTTCCAATGTTGGGATTGGGGGTGTGCTGAGTCAAGAAGGGCACCCAGTTGCCTACTTCAGCGAAAAACTCAATGAAACCAAGCAAAAGTATTCCACCTATGACAAGGAATTTTATGCAATGATTCAAGCTCTTCGCCATTGGCGACACTATCTTCTTTATAAGGAGTTTGTGTTGTTTTCCGACCATGAAGCACTGAAGTACATCAACTGTCAAAAGAAGCTGAATCATCGACATGGTAAATGGGTTTCATTTCTGCAGGAGTATTCTTTTGTTATCAAACATAAAGCTGGCTCTGAGAACAAAGTTGCCGATGCTCTTAGCCGAGTGGTGTATGTTCTCTCTTCCATGGCCCTACAAGTGG